TACATAGTTGATTTTTAGTCGATCGAATAGAAGTTAAATGAGAATGAATGGACTGATTTGTGCTTACAGAGCTATTTCTATACCATCTGTTTTACCAATCTTTCATGAACTTTGAACATAGTTTTTGTCTCTTGGATATTGTCACGTGAAATGGTTGAGGTGAGACACGTAGTGTGATGAAGTGTTCTAAAGAATACTCTCACCTTCTGTTAGTGATATATTCTTATTGGATTAGTTATCTCGGATGGAATGTAGTATTGGCTTTCATGTGCCGATTGGGCTGTATTATCAAATATGTTCAAGAAACTATTAAGAATATATAATATATAGTCACCTACTTTTTGCTATAACCTGGAAACTCTCTAATCTTTTTATGCTGTATTATCGACATCCAGTAATTTGGGGATACTTATAAATTCATATGCAGTTTTAAGTGTTCTATGTGATTGTGATTTTGTATTCTAGCAGCAAGACTAATATTTTCCGAAAAGGGAAGTTAACAAAAGAAACTTAAAATAGCCCGAAAACTACTCTAATAGTGGTTTAAAGCAATATAATAGAATGTTCTTATAAATTAGTATTTTGTTCTGATGTAAATCATATAATTCCACTGCCCGTGGTAGTTGATAGATATTTTTGGATACTCTATTATAGTACATGTAGATACTTAAGTATGTAAAAAGTACTTTTTCTCAGTATTCTAAATGGCACAGTCGATTGTTCAATTTAGTCATTGTGTCTTCATTTCGTTGAAAAGTGTCGAATGATGTTCTTAAAATCAATCAATCATCAGTTATGAGTACTTTTTCGATTTTTTTTGGTTTTATAAACACATAAAGAACACAATGATACTTGAAATCGGCATATCGAAAAAAAAACAAAGTATGTCATAAATGAAAAGAAGAAAAAATAGAGTTTTGTTTGACAAAATTTTATTCTATTCTGATTGACCATTTGTTATTTCTACTAATAAAATGATTTTTGAGGTTAGTGACACCGACAACCAGAAAAAATCTTTTATTGTTGTTTCAGCGCAACAAGTCAATAACAAGCAAAGTTTTTTCATAAAAAAGTTGTTAAAGTTAACAGTTGAAGAAAAACATAAGGATAAAAAGCATTAGTAATGTCAGCTCGTTAACTATCAGCAAATAAAAGCAGTTTTTGTCAGACGAAAGAAAAGTGTCATTGATGATGGAATTAACGAGCGAACTCAAGCGTCATTCAATCAAACGTTTATTAACATTTATTCACAATTTAGAACAGAAACTCTCATCTGTAAATGGTATTAACGAAAAATTACACGAACTTATCTCTACCGTAACACACACTCATCAAACAATTACAAAAGAATTGAAAACAATCAAAAACATCTTTAAAGAGATACAGTTAGAAGAGAAAGAAAACAGGTGAGTTAGAATTAGCATGTTTCATTCAATTGTCCTTAATTATGTGAGACATTCTGCTATTCTCATCCGTTCGAGATTCAAAACTGACGAAATGTTTCTGCTATTTTACTCTCTCCGAGAACCCATAATTAATTTGGTTACTAAATTGGTTCATTTTAACTTGACAAGATCTTGCTATTCATGCATCTTCAGAATGAATCGTTCATGTTGAATATAAGTACTCTGTATATCGATAGTCAGTCATAAGAGATTTGGAGTAATATCAATTCTTTTGATTTATCGACCAGTTTTTATTATTTTTGACTCTCATCACACATTTTAGCGCACTTTTTTTTTTTGAGAATATATTCTAGTTGGTCAATGATCATAATAGCATGGCCTTTCTTGTCATTCATCTCGGAATTTTATCTTATTACTTAATATATGAATGAATTTTGGTATAGAATTCACATCTGAAGATGATGGTTATAAGATAATACTAAAAGCTGAAAAGGAGCAACGTTCTAGAATTTTCATTCAATGTTCTCTAAACGATCCAGGTTACATGTTATTAACTACGTCACTTCTTAGAAGCTTTTTTGCACGTTGAATTAGCTTAATGCTGCATTAAGCTATCGTATGCAGTTTTATCACTGTTGTTGTGTGTAACGATTAAGTCTGCATACCTTATAAAAGTCTTTCTGTGCAAAGAAGTTCCAAAAGTGTAGTTTTCAGAGCTACCTATAGGCTCCTTTTGTACTTTGAAACAGAGAAACTAAATTTTTGAAGAGTTTTGAGCCGATTTTGAGTGAGTTACGTTTTCCGTTTTGCGTATAAAAGTCTAACATGGATTATTTCATCTAATATATCATTAGAGTTTCAATTTTTTTTCTGAAAACAAGTATTGTAACGTAACTCAGCGAAGAGAAAAATCAAGATTTTCAATAATTTTTGAGTTCTCACATATGACCTTATATAAGTTAGGAGGTACATAAGAAATTTAATATCAAGCCGAAATGATAAATCATGAATAGACAAATAATTCTTATTTTGAAGAGGACACGCGCGCCTTTCTATTTGCATGGTAAAACGGTCATAGCCCATTTTTAGAAGATCGAAATCAGTTTTCCAGAGATTCTCCGAAAACGATTGTCGAATATTTTTCTCTTATGGGATGATTCGTCAAGGATCTTGGCTTTCGAGTGACACGAAGTAGGGATGTTGGCGTAGAAGATGACCATTGACAACGTTAACTGATCTTCACTCAAAATCAACTTATTAAAAGGCCAAAATTGCCTATCCAAGATTGACCATTCCTAGCACGAAGTGCAACGTTCCAGCTATCGTTAATTAAACGTTATTGAAAAAACGTCCACGACCGTTTTCTTTAACTCAATATACATATATCGCTATTATTCTTTTTAGACAAGCGGATACTGCTGATAAAAAACCGACACAATTCGATTCAAAATCAGGTCATTTAAGTGGTAGCGATCGTATTTCATCCTGTTCACCATCATCATATGGCTCATCATCAGCGTCATCAGGCATCTCTTCGTCGCTTCAAAATATTGATGAACAATTATCGAAAAATGAAAAAAGCAAACGTTCATCGAACGTAAAGAAACATCGTTCATCATCTAGAAATAAGAATAAAACAGGAAGACAAGTGACTTTCGTCATAAATAATAATCATAATACTGGAGATGAAACGATAGTAGAGAACGAACAAATCACACTGACAAATACGGAAGAGCAGAATAAATCTTATACTGATACTTCAGCTATTAAAGAAAATAAGAAGACAAAAAACGAAGTCGATAATCGAGTATTTGAACAACCGTATCCACTTGGACTAATTGAGAAAATAACTTTCAGTGAATCAGGTATATTAACTTAAACTTTGAACTACAACAACTATTAAAACTTTGAGCTGAAGATGTGGGCAGTTGAGATTTTCAGACCCCTAGTCGAAAGTGTAAAATACTTTTGAGAACAAAGACTATAACAATCTCATACATGTACAATTAGTTTTAGTCCGAAAAAGATGGTGTCAGCAACGCATAAAAAAAATGAAGCCGGAAGTAAAAGATTACCATCACTTTGACCTAGGGTAGTTAAATATTATAAGATTAAAATGAAAAGATATTATAGGTTGATGACAAAATAGCCATTTGCTTATTATTGTAGCTTGTAGTCACACATCCCTCTATTCCAACTTAGCAACGACTGTTATTCCAACTGATCAATCGAAAAATAGTTTTGACAAAAATTCAGATTTAATATCTGGTCTATTCAACCAACATCGGTCGAACGTATCGAAAAAACACAATATTGGCTACAAAATGGGAAAGTAAGTCAGATAGCTAATTGATTGAATACAAATCTCTAATAAATTTCATCTTTTAGTGCTTTGACCAGTGTACGTATTCATGAAATAGAACAGAATGGTGACTATCTAAAATTATTAAATGTATCCAATTCGGAAGATTATGATTTAAGTAATCACTTCATTCAACAAAATGTGGCATGCTTACCCACGTGTCGTTTTCGTTTTCCTCCACAAACAGTAATAAAAGCTGGACAAACAGTAACAGTGAGTATATGTATGCGTTAAGTATGAGCAGTAATAATTAATGATCTGATATTCAGAAGAACAACTAACAGAAAATTACGAGAGTTAAAATATTATCAGTTTTTAATGAGTCCTATAGTGTAAAGAGAAAAAGAGATAAGCCTTTTTAAGTATAGTACACATGAACGTAAAATCTTTCCTAATATTTTTGATAAGAATCGTTCGGATTCGATACGTCAACAGATGTATGAAAGGATTTTCGAGTGAAACTATTGGCTGTTTAGAAAAAGATTTTTAAATAACTTTTGACAGAAAAGAGGTGATGGCTTAAGGTTTTCACCATTTAGTGGAGGAATTTCATAAGAAAAAAAGAAGCTCTACAGCTCTAAAAAGAAGCCTTACTGTTTTGAATTATACACATGATTGCTAGATAAAAAAAGCAAGAGACAACATTTTTGGTACTAACATTTTCCCATGTAGATAACTAGAAATAAATAAAGCCACTCGTTATTACTCCTGGTGCTTGCCCACTCCTAAATTTCAAGAACTCGCTTGACTTCCAAAATAAAGAAGACGCTCGCGACTATTAATCTGTAAATAAAACAAAATATTGCTATTTGAAGTTTTTGTATAACTTTTGAATAGTGCTAACTAGTGAGCTGGAGTTTTTAGACATGAAAGAGGAGCTTATGGAGCATCGGTTTGCCAACGAAAACTTTCTTAGAGTTTTTCAAGGAATTTCTGGAAAGCTCTTGCATAACGGAAAAATTTAAGATATCAAACTGTTGATTTTTCACATCAGTAGATAGAAAAAAGCGTCCTTTTCAAAATGGAAACTAAGCGACCTCTTAATCTTTTGTGGTTGAAGTATAGCACTGGATTTGCTGCCAGCCCCACAATCAATATTCCAAACTGATCCAGACTATCTCAGAATATCAAGGTACACTAGCTTTTATCTTTTCAATGAGATTCTGCAGTTAAGAGTAGTATAAAATATTCTCTTACTTTGAAAGATTTTTAGGAAACCTTTTGAGTATTTTATGTTGTTTATAAAAGTTCTATCGAACTCCATAATATGCTACAGATAAAATCGAGCGTATCTTAATATTCTGAGGTAGCCTGGATCACTTTTGACTGAGTTATGAGTTCCTAAATTTACGCGAAAATAGACAGAATCTATATTAGGTTTTTTTCACCTAATATAGATTTTCATCGGTTTACTCTCAGTTCGTCCCAAATTGACTTCTCAATTCGTCTCATGAAGCTTTTTTTCTCAGTTCATCCCATCAACACTTCTCTCTCAATTCGTCCCATATTAGTTTACACTTAATTAGCTTTAATATAATTATCGGTACCTCTTGGGACGGTGATAAATATGTATATAATAAATAACAGCAATATCAACGAGGACTTTAGCGGTATCTGGATTACATGTGTGTGCTGATTCATCCATTTATACATAGTGATATTGTACTTGAACATGTTCTATCCCGACACCTCCATTGATTATTTGTTTTGTTTGCTCGTTTTTTGGTGTATTGATACCCATTATGATTCAAAACTGGTTTGTCTTTTTCAGTAGACGTGAAAATTGATATTTTGATGAACAAGGCAGTTTAACTTATTTAGATTTAAATTTGTGATAATAGTGGCTAACACGACACATTTTACCACGTACGCGCATCTAATATTGTCTACAATACCCACCGTCACCGTCTAAACTGTTCGATGGTACAACACTTTATTTATTTTGAGGCACGAGCGTAGATATCTAGAATGAATTGAGAAAAAAATTCTGGGACGAATTGAGACAGAGAAGTGTTGATGGGACGAACTGAGAGGACACTTTTTCATCAGATCTTTGGACTTTTTCGGAAAAAAATGCTGCCACGAGAGTCAGCATTGTCGATAAGCTATATTTCCATTCATTTTCGCGATTACTACACCTAAGGGAATATCGATTCTGGGGCTGCCAGCAAAGTCAATGCCACACTTCAACCACAAAAGATTAAGAGGTCGCTTAGTTTCCATTCTGAAAAAAACACTTTCTTCTATCTACTGATGCAAAAGAATAATAGCTTCGTATTTTAAATTTTCCCATTATGCAAGAGCTTTCCAGAAATCTCTTGAAAAACCGGTTTTTAAAAAACTCTCTAAAAACGTTTTCGCTGATAAACAGATGTTCCATAAGTTCCCCTTTTTATATCTAAACACTCTAGCGCTCTAGTCAGTACCATTCAGAAGTTATACAAAAAATGGTCATGAGTCATTATTTTTTTAACGATTAATAGACCTGGTTAAAAGTATTGAAAGTCTAGTTGTTTAGATATTCAGCACCTAACAGGTGTATCTTTAAGAATACAGTAGGCATAAACGGGCTAAACAGACAATAGATTTTGTTATGTTAGCGTGTTAACGGTACATCTCGCTTGCTTTAGACAAAATTGTCATTTTTAAGATAAACGTGCTGCATGATAGAGTGCAGAGCTGGAACCGGTTGAGAAACGGTAGGCCGGTCCGGTTCGGCCGGTAAACGGATCGGTTGGAATTATAACTCAAACAGGCGAAAAATCGGCGAAAAACTGGCGAAGTTTTCTGAAAATCGATTTTCAGAAAGACTTTCCCCTAGAAATGAAATAGTTTGCGAGCACATGTGGGAGAACCTTCACAATAACGAGTCTATAACATTTAACCTTAAAACAAGTGATGAAAATAATATCTGTCTTGAGCATCGTCTTATTTATTCTGACTGAAAAAGACGTGAAATTTTAGTTTTTTGACGAAAAACACGGTAAAGAGCAGATGTTTCAAAAGTTTCAATCGACGAAACATCGGTCTCTACTGGCCCGGTTGACTTTTTCAACCGGTCAAATCCGACAGTACCGGTTCCAGCTCCGATAGAGTGACATGTCCTCTGCAAAATAAGACCACTCATATCTTCCCACTACCTTCCACTAGAGAAATACATGTTTTTTTGAAGTTTGTCACTTTACTCTGAAGAAACTCTTTTTCAACGTGGGAAAACATTTTTCTTGATCTCGGCACTTAAAAGGTTATTTAAACAGTCAGTCTCATGGAGTAAAGAGTTCTTAACAAAACGAATCTTATTAACTCTACACCATGTTTTCTGATAGAGTTATGATCATCTTTTTGAAAGTCCTCGAAAAAGTTTCAGAAGGATTATTGCATGCTTTCGCCATAACTTTTGAACGAAAAAATATTTTTCGAAAAAAAATTAAAATTTGACCTCGGAGATACTCAACAAGTTATAAGTGATCAAATTTTTAGTCGGATGGGATAAAATTTCAAGAAGAACATAAGAGGCAAAAGTGAGAATTTGTAAAACTCCTAAACAAAGATAGTAAAAGGTTCGTGATGGTCCGGATACACCAAGTAATTATCTTTTATACTTTGCGAGTAGTAAAATTGCCCCCCTACCTGCGAAAGCCCAAAATGAGGAATGAAAGCCTTTAATACTATGCCATACAAGATTTTGTTACAAACTGATTCTAACTTGAGTAAAGTAGTAAAATAATGCTTAGAAATGCTTTAGTACTTGGTATCTGTATAATTGTTTACAAGGATGAATTTGTAATTTAGATTTGGTGTGGTCCAAAGAATATCGAGCAGCCACCACATGTTTTTGTTTGGAAACAGCAACGACGTTGGGAAAATAGTCCAGAATGTGTCACCATTTTAGCAAAATCAAGTGGACAAGTACATAAACAACTTCAGTTGAATTTTTTATTACTGTATATCGTATGTACTACTTTTGTAGGCTATCGCATGGACACGCAGTTCACATCGATTTAATAATGATTCTTCAAGTAAAGATTAATATAAACTTTACTTCTACTAAATCTATAGAATTATTCTATTTAATATAGATGACACTCTGTTTGTTCAATCACAAAGTAAAAGTATTTCGGATGCTGATAGTATTTCATCTATAGCAAAGTAAATGATAATCTCACTACTATTTATATCTGTTGTACCCTTAATGATATGTTCGTAGGAATCGAAGTGAGAAACTGCCCGCGTTTAGTTTTGTTGGTAACAAATCGCCGTTTACTCATTCAACAAACAGTTCAATTCATCCTAATCATTCAAATCCACTAACACATGATATTCGAATACAAATGCATACACAATGGCAACTAAATAAAAACAGAGTACGTATTATACTTCAAAGCAGGTACTTGGATGAAGAATATTTGATTTTCTTATTCTTTAGAATATGATGTTAAAACGTCCAAAAAGTTCCCCATTTGCCAGTCATATAGGTTGTAAACAAGATTTAATTAGTATGAATATATTACAATCAAAATTAAAACAAAAAGTTTTAAAAACATGACTATATTATTATTAGTTCTTAAAGTGTGTAATAGCTAGTGAATAATAGTTTTTTTAACATTACTACTTTGTTTGTTATTAATAAACGTATTTTACTCAATCTTTCAGGATCCCGAGATAAAAGAACTGATCTAATTTATAAAGATCTGGACATATTAGAGTTTCCTACTATGCCGGATTCTAACGATATAGATGAGCTTGCATGCGTTCGTGCTTCATAATTTCGCAGTTTTCATTAGAAACATAGCGCTGTTTCTGAAAAATCTAGCTCCTCTCTGTGAATTTTAAGTGAGTCTATATGATTCTGTTATCGAGTGACAGGATGGGTCAGCTATCCCTCAACTTCAGGTCAGAAGAAGAAATATTGTGCAGCATATTCATCTCATCTCATCTCATCATTTATTGATCTATAAATGACAGTAATAATGAGCGTTCACAATTGTATATCTTTCTACATCTGCCTTTATTCGGCATGTACACATTCAATTATTCTTTTTATCATTAATTTTGTTGAACAACTGATGTATATTATTATTATTTTTTGCGGCTTTTTGTTCTTTGATTTAGTTTTCTTTATAACACAAACCAAAAATCATTATCATTTCCATTCTAACACTTGCATTTTGTAGAAAAGCAATTGTACCTTTTAAAATGAAATCAAAAAAGTAGTTTATCATTTCAAAAGTAAAATAAAAAATAAAAGATTGATGACCTTCATGTAATGATTGAATATTATATTGAATATAGTAGTACTATCGATGTATGCGCATACGATTAAAAAATCATCATTTCTATTTAATTTTCCTTTCTTTTACCTTCATTGATTTATCACGTGTGTGTATTATGTATGTGACAAGTATTCATGACAATTCTCATTATCAAAGTTGTGTCAACATGACTCATTTGAGTTTAAATATTACTATTTTTTTACATACACACATATCCATGCACAAAAATGAGAACACCACACTGATCATGGATATGGCTGTTTTAAATTATATAACAGTTACCTCGCAACAGATTGAAAGATTTATATCTTATACAAGAGTATAATAAATAGGATGTTTCACTTTGTAGAACTTATTTTTAATGATGATTGACGTCAATCACGTTTCTCATTGAAATGCTTCACGCTCTGGACATCAAACAGATCTCTACGAGTTTAATGCTCAATTTTTCCTACCATGAAAATAACGTGGATTTAAATCTAGCTATTTTCGATATCAGGTCTTTCCCCAGGTAGAATTGACTAATAGATGTCTATGAATTCATCAATGATCAACTAAAGACGTTAGACAGATATACAGGTAACTGTAGACACAGATGATGTTCAATATCGGCGAGAATGTATTTTGTTTTATCTGATTTGTATAAAACAACACTCATTTTCAATCGACAGATATACATATACCCAGAGAGTTTAATATATAATATATACGTATATTCTACGTGTATTTTTATCTGTTGCGCACCCTTCTTCATACATACGCCATATGATCTATGTTGACCTCAACGGCTCAATGACATATCGATGGAAAAAAAAAGGATATTTATAAAATAAAGACGAATTATGATGATAGTTTGTAGTCTTAGAATTGGTTCACGAGAAAAGTTTTTTTTTCTTCTTTTGTTTTAAAAGATGACGTATAATTACAAGAAATGCGACAACTTGTATACAATGTGCTATATACTTGAAACAAAAGAATGAAAAATCTCAAATGGCACACACGGACAAATGATGTAATGAGCATATACACCCTTATTTTACTTTTTCAAAAAACAAAGAGAAGAAGAGGCATCAACTTGACTTCTTAAGAGAAAGGCACATAACCACAACTCTTGAAATTTTAAACGTTTCATTTATATTCAAGTGCATTTAAGAAAAGAGGGAGGATACGGCATTTTGAAAAAAAAGAAAATATATATATATATATATTTATTTAAGTCAATAGGCCACCATCCATCAAGATATATATGTATACTGCACATGAACATTTGTCATTTCTTTCTTTCTTAGTAAAATTAATCAGAAGTGTACACAAAAGAAGACTAAAGTGTATTTATGTTTTAATGAAAAACTGTTTGTTGAAATAAAATAATATATCGAATTGTATGTTTTTTCGAAACAAAGAAAAAAAATAAAAGAAAACACACTTTATACAAAATGGCAAATGTATTTAGATAAAATCTTTACGTAAATGCGTATATGTATATAAATATTTATTATTTTTTTTTTTTTGACGTAATTTATTGTTAATGACACGTCTCTCATATATATATATATATATATTAATCGAAAAATGAAAATTTACATATGTAGAGATAAATCTAATATTGGGTGTGGTTATCGTAATGAGTGACTATGCTAAGATTTATATTCGTGGAGTAAATGTACAGTAGATTATTTTATTTTAGTTTTTTTTTCTTGATAGTCTATGAGAAAAAGAAAAACAAAAAATGAGAGAGACAAATCTTGTCAAAATGAAAAATTGGATTAAGAAGAAAAGTTTAATTAAAGTCAAGTTTAATAAGACTATCTCACGTAATAAAATTTGAAATCTATGCCTAAAGAGATTAATAATATATATATACACAGTTTTATATCTTTTTTGTGATAAAATAAACATATCATCAAACTCGAAAAATTTTGAAATACGATTTGAGTCGGGATGAATGCCATATTTGGAATAAAGCATAATCGATTTTTAAAGTCCGACGATATGCTATTTAACAACGATAGGTATAAAGTAGTTAACTGCTGTTTAATTTGTATAGAAAATAGTCACATTTTGTTTTTTACAGTTGATTTTGTTGTTTGTATCAACAATAGAATAAACAATTGCACGAGTAACTCTCGTCTGTAATGAAAAAGCGATTGAAGATGTTTTTATGAAGAAACAAAAATATGTGGGGAAGAATTCATATTTTATTAGATATACCAAACTTTATTTATTTTCTTTGATATTTTAGCGGGGAAAAAACAAACAATCCAATCAAGAAAAAATAATAAAAAATGTTGATAAAAAAAAAAAAATCATTATAAATATATAAACAAACAAAATTATAAGATAAACCTGATAACCCTAGCATGAAACATCTGACATACAGGTGAAATTAGAGAAATTGAAAAGATAAAACATATTTACTTCTTATTTTTCCAAAATAGAAAAAATGAATTGAAATTATCGGATACAACTCTCTTCTTTTTTTTTTTTTTTTTTTTTTTTTTTTTTTTAAATTTAAAAATGTAGGTAAAATTATTTAAAATTTTTAAATTTTTTAATTTTTTTTTTATTTTTTTTTAAAACTTTTTTTTTTTTTTTTTTTTTTTTTTTTGTTATTTTGATCAATTTAAACATGTACGTAAAATGATGTAAAATTTGTACATTTTATCATTTTTTTAACTTAACTCATTTTTGAATTTATTGAAATATTAGTCATGGTCAAGTTAATGTTATTTTTTCTGGATATTGATTTAGATATATTTTACCATGATTGTGATTACGATAGGATGGTATTCTATAAGAGAATGAATATGGATTTTGAGGTGCATTTTGTAATGTTCTTGAATAAATTTGTCCTGTACGATGATCATGTTCAACATTTACATAACATTTTGTTGGATAACGTTGATTTTGAGAATGATCATATGGTGTATAATAGAATGATCTTGCATCTGGTGATGCATAAATTCGTGTTTTAGCATCCGAATCTATAATACCATTTTTATAAGAATAATTTTCAATATTTATTGGATCAAGAGTCGTTGTTATTGTTGTTTCTTTTGTTTCTTCATGTCCTAGTAATGTTTCTTTTGATGGTTGTCGATGTCTTAGACGATGTCCAATTTTTGATGCAATCCAATAGATAAGTAAGAGAAAAATAATAGCAAATAATATGAGTAACATAAGAGAAAACACCGATGATTTCCATTGACTCCATGAGCTATTATCATCATTTAATTCACCATTCTCATCGTCATAACGTAATGAAAATAAATTTTTTCGTTTTGAACGAATTGCACCTGCAGATAGAGAAGTATCGGTAACTGTCAACGTCTTCCAACCATTAACTCCTGTAGATGATGATGGTTTCTGTAATTGTACAGTAATATTGGTATCAAATGTTGGTAATAGTGGTAACATATTCCGATATTTATTTTCCATATATTGTTGATAACTCATACTTTGAGGAATACAAAAATAGTCAATAGTCATGTATTGACCGTAGGCTACATCAACAATACCCCGAATAGCACATGGTTTATAAATTTTTAAACATGTTTTTTCAATAAAACATTCTTGTTGTTCATTACAATGATGACTATATTTTGTTATACGTCTAGAACAAGATGATTTTCTTTTACAACATGTTGATGAATTTGTATTTGACTCTAATAGATAACAATTTTCTGTATAATATAGTTGTATAATATTTAAACGTATTTTTTCATTTTGAGAACAAGTCAATTTAATTTCACCTAATCCACAACATACATCAACATGTTTTTCAATATTACTGAAAGCATTTGAAGATGTAACGATCGAAAATAAAAATGTAAGTATAATGGTGATGATTGTTGTTATGCAATAATGAATACGATAATGATAACGAGAAACTATTTTTATTAATATAAATGACTTTGACATGACGATGATGATATTACACAGTCGTATGACGGACGTTTCGTTGACGATTTAAAAGTATTACTGAACATTGTCGGTGATTATGATGATAAGATATGATGTTGAACATACTTCTTCGTCATATAAATGTTGTTTAATTGAATGTAGTATGACTAGAAGAAGAAAAAAAAAAGAAGAAGAGATAATTATAACGATGATTCAAGTCATATCAATGTTCATATGACTTATTATATATCGTTTAATTATAGGTTCGATATGTATTCTACGTAACTGTAGTAGACCCATAAGAAAAAATAAAGTATTAGCTAAAAATTAATTTAATAGATGAGAGAAAAAAGATGAATGATTATTCATTTTAAAATCTGAAAACATACGCTAATAATTTTTTTTAAGTGCATGCACATTATAGATTTTTCTTGACTTGATATAGCCATAGCTAAAATTAGAAATAGTTAAGATCGAGTAAAATCATAAGTTTATTAGAGAATAAAGAAATTTATAGCCTTCGGAATGATAAAAAAATTTTGTAACTTTTAAATATAACAAAAAAAAAAAGAAAAATCTTATACTTGAATACAAGTTTGTGAGGATTCAACTGTTCACAAGATATAAATATATATTGACATTGTAACGCTGTGTATTTCAAGGGAAATCAAACACACATAAATAACTCAGAACAATTCTATTATTATCAAAAACTTTATTGAAATAATCAATTTTAACTCGAAGTGTACCGATATTATAGAAAAGCTTGTTCGGAGTGTGAAAAATGATGAAAATCGGTATATATTACATTCCAAGATACGAAGAGTTCAACATATGTTGATTCTACAGTTAAAATTGTTCTCCTATTATTGAATATTACCTACTCTTCTATTCTTACAACAGTTTTATGGATATTCTAGGAAATAATAAGAAATAAGGAAAGAGACGATTCATGGGTGTATATAAATGATTTTTATCGGAAATAGATCAAAATGTATAAGTCTAATTGATGTATAACTGACGTAAGTGTGTGTAGACAACAGTGGTACATCTGATAGCCAAGAGCTTCTTGTTAAAAGATATGTTTGAAGTGGACACTATTATGTTCATTTTACACATTAAGATGATATTTATTTTAAAAGAATCACACTCTCTTAATGTTTGAGAGTAATAGATAATGACCTTCTGGAATATAAAGAGCCGTAGCTAATGTTCTTACTGCTGTAGATCAGCTAGTTTTTGGGATACAACTGAAAATGTTAAATATAAAAGCACTATGAGAAGCTATAAAATTTTATAGTTGATACAATGCATTGTGTTGCGGGTGACTGTATGTGATATGCCAACTATGTGAATTGATAAGGGTAAAAATTTGAAAAAAACAGACATAGTGAGAAAAAGTATCCATTCGATCTTTTGACCTTCTAAAGTGAATGTGATATATATATCAATATAAGTGTATAAATAACTGTCCCACTCTTCAACAAAACAATCAAAATCTTATATTTATATCTACTACGAACAATTAAAAATTTCTGAATCTTGAGAGATAAAAGATTTAAATTCGACGACACAACATTTATCAAACATTGCCTTAATATTAAGCGCATAGACGAAGAAAGTTACAGTGACAGTCAAAATCATCTACCCACTCATGTTGCATCTTCTCCTGCTTTTCACCTTAGCAACAATTAGAATGCAACCGGGTTATGCTTTTAATCATCATGTGGCACACAGTTTCTAGAATATGCATAGGCGCGCCTCCACAAGGGAGGGAGAAGTAGTTGCTCTGGTTTCAGTAAGTACTTCAACATCAGCTATAATCCATTATTTGACTCTAATTTCAGACCATTGACACTGATTTTAGAATGTTGATAAGCAAAATATACTTTGAATTTTTTAAAATTTTTCTTCACTTTTCTGTGCTTTCTAGCGTATCAAAGCACCTCTGTTAAGTTTCAGCTTAAGAGATTAGATTTAAAAATTCAATAAAATATGCGGTATATTTAAATGAGCCAAAGTTATCCAACCATTTGAAGGTTTTCTTACTTCTTCAATTTTGTGCTTATAACCAACACATCAAATTAAATCAGTAGAAACAAAATTGTAATTGTGTACATAGTAGAAAGAAGAATTTTACAAAATAATGTCTTTTTAAACGGAAAATATAAAGTAGAAAAATTACACTGTAAAAACCTGAGAAATTAAATTTTTATCCACAGAAAATAACACTCGAACTCAGTACACTACCTTTACAATGTATCATAGTTTCTTAAAAATATCTCTAGAAAATCGTTCATAGAAATCCGATTCTTTAGTGTACACTCCCTGACGTTTTATATGCAAGACATTTTAAGATAATCTATCTGAAAGATTCTAAATAAAATGAGCTTTTTATAGAGATTTGTAGTTTCAAGAGTCAAGGAGCTACTCGTTTTTCTTGTAAAAACTAAAAATTTAAGAGTTTGCAGTTTGTTTACGTATCATAAGAAACGTACTCGTCTATTCTTCTGTAGTAGATCATCATATAAACTTATTTTAATAACTTATTTTGTAAATGATGGGATATGATAGATATATACATACAGACACACAAGAGTCTTCTTTGAGCTACGCAATGGAAAAACTCAAAATTCCATTGTAATCTTTTCCTTGTAAAGAGAAAAAAATGAGAAGAATATGTGATATAGATGGAAGAGTAATTCTGATCATTCTTGTAACTAACTGATAATATAAAAACTTCGATTCAGTTTTTTTAAACTTCTTTCAATACGTTACAAGCGCTCGAGAATTCGATCGTTGAAGATTTAAATACTATCTCTTTTCTAAAATATATCAGTATTACATCTTTTTACTAAACCGAAGCTGAATGTGTCTCTTATACTATAAATAAAACATTTCAAATAATAAAAATTCTCTCTATCTTTCTCTCTCTTACTAATTACTATCGTAGTAAAAATTTAATTCATGCATATAAAAGGTTAAACAGTTACTTCATTTACCGTTTAGTTTTCATTTTATGACGTTATTGAACATGTACATTAATTACCGGAAACAATAAAATATTGATTATATACCTAAAAATATGAATAATATTTTACAATTTTCATCCGTTCTTCTTTCATTCTCTCTTTCTAAATGAAATACAACGGTTGATATCGATCTATTGTTATTCTGCTCTTCTCTAGGACATTTTTTCTTCCTTCTTTTTATCTATCTGTTATGTACACTTACCGTATGATTTTTATACTATTTTCACTAATCTTCTCTCTGTAGAATTTTAAGTTACTTCTATTTTGTTTAAAAGCGATGTTGTCGGATATGAAGAAGAATAAATTTGATAAACCTTTTGTTACGTCTGACTATATTTAGAAATAATATAAAGTTTATTTTTTGTTAAAATAATATATATGTTTTTATCTTTCTTTCTTCTGGCACTATAAAACAACGGAAGAAGAAATGGTACAGGTTTTACTCTCTTTTGATGTCTATATTGTACATTTTGAAAGAACAAGACAAACAACTATTCTTCTCTCTTTTGAGATATATGTGTATATAGTGACTTGACTAGCTCTATATATACAAAAAAAAGAAGGAGAAGAGAGAAGCTCATATTATACTTCGATAGAATATCTCCTTTTTCTCTAAAACGTAACAAAGTTGAATAAAAAAAAGAAAAAAAAACATATCCAAAGGCAAAGTTCCTTATCAGAATAGAAAAATGAACTTCGATTATTTCAAAGTGATCAACTGAAAAGTTATCGCAGTATTTTTTAGACTTTAAATCGTATAAATCGTATAGTAAAATTTGTTAAATTTGGTGTAAAATTGGTTGAGTTATAACTACGAATATCAAGAGACATTGAATCGATCTAATTTAGGATAGATTTCTGATCTGGAATACCAAGCGAAGTTTTGTCACCACATTGATTGCACTCACACAAATATGCGGAAAAACGTGGCATTTTTCTATACCGTTGATGATATATCGACTACAAAATCAGACTATAGTATGACAACAAAATATACTCAAAAATGTTAGAACCAGTCGCCATTCGAATGACCACTGGCCTGTTCTATCGTACCAGCCAAAAAACATAAGTCCATAATATTTTATAAAATTCATAGCTCTTCAACCGAGAAATATTTCTTTTTTGTAGCTTAATGATTTTTCTTTCAAATGGTAATTAAGCAAAGTCTAGCAGCTGACTAGTTTAAGTGATATAATGTTTTAGATATACAGCACTTTCGCACAAACGGGCCTTATTGGCGAGAGTTATAGGCAAGTGTTTAGGTTAGACTTTGCTTAATTACCGTTTGAAAGAAAAATCGTTAAGCTACAAAATAAGATGTTCCCCAACTCTGCACGCTGCTCGGCTGAAGAACTATGAATTTCACAATATGTTACGGACTTACTTAAAAGTTGACTTCCGGGTGGACAGGTCCGCTAGAATTTTACAGCCAACTAGGCCGTTATGGATTATGGCGGAGCCAATTCTTATTTTCTAACAAAGAATTTTGCCTCTCAAAACACCTAGTAACAGTGCAATAAGAACAGTCAACAAAAATCCATTTTTAATATTAATTTAAAGATATGTATATGTATAACTAAAGAGTGAGATAAAACAATCACAACCAATTTTCACAAATTCAAAACTTATGATTGACAATATTTTCTATTTTCATTCATTTCAAAACATTATTTCGCTATCTCATCCAAAGTAACATTGAGCTATGACACAGACGACAATGTATGTTAGTGAATATTCAAGGCCAAGATATGATAATATTTTAGTGTGCAAGATGATCGTTGTCCACAGGTTCTAAAATCTAGTTCGTCATCCAAGTTATCTGTATATGTTCTGCCTCCTCACTCTCACCTTTATCATATCCGCTTAAAAGAGAACACTTATTGATAAATTGCTATCCAATTCCAGTTTTGTAAAGTAAAATTATAGATTTGTCGAAAGAAAATTGTAACTGAACGTGTGCGCGCGTTAGATAACTTGATTTTCGCTTAAACAAAGTGTGGAAGGTTGTTTATAATATTTCTTTATGATTCAGCACGATAAAGAGTAGAATTAATCAAGATCCTCAATTGATTTAATGAAGGTTTCAAAAAAGTTTATTACTGAGC